TGGAAGTTGAATCCTTCTTTTCTTAATAGTAGTCTTAAAAAGGCTGTTACATCTCTGTTGATAAAAGAGCTAAAATCATAAAGGTGTTCACCACTGTGCAGAAAATACTGGTTTTCTAGCGCAAACAACACGTGGCTGCAAGTAACAGTCAGTCACTCCAGACAATAACTGACCAAAAATTGCCCCATTCCAATAAAATGAAAACCAAAAGTAATCAATAACTACTGGTACATGTACACTGTATACCCTGATGAAGTGACATTCAGACTGACTGAATATGAAACAGCTATCAAGACTGAATCTGGGTTTTTTTAGCACCTTGGTAAAGAAAACAAAAACTTTACTTTAAACAAACAACCAACACAGTCACTCACCTGCCAGCAATATCTGTTCTCATAATAGAATGTGGCATAGCAAAGCCTTCATAGATTGGCACTGAGTGCGACACTCCATCACCTGCATCTAAAACCACTCCTGTTGTGCGACCAGTTGCATATCTGAACACAAACAACAATATCACAATAACTTAATGACAAAATATCGCAACACGGATTTTATGTCAGTGGTGAGTCCAGACCTTGAGGAGGAAGGCACTCGCTAGACACTTTCTTTTTTAATCTTTAAGCCCCCAGGTCCTTCCCCTAAGCATCTCACTGCATGGTATACATATATGATTAGTTTTCAAGGCTATGCTCCAAGAAGAATACTAGGGAGCCTAATGCTCTGACCCTGTGAGAGCCATGGTGGGAGGGGGAGGGGGGAAGGGGCAAGGGGGCAAGCTTATTTTCGTGACACCGTGATCAACCATTTCGTCCGTGAATCGTGATTTACTGAAAAACTGTTCTGTAAATTGTGATTGAAGTGCACTCTATTAAATGTGAACTGCCAAAATCCTAGATTGTGTACACGTACATTCAAGATTGATTGAAGAAAATAAATCATTAATTCAAGGCCAAATGACCTTAATTAGTGTTTGGTGGCTTGATTTAACTTCACTTTTGAGTCTTTTGATGTAACTGCACACTTCAGTGCACTCAGACCCACCTACAGCTGGCTTCCTGTGAAAACGTAAATATTTGCTCTGTGACTCATGAACGCAAAATTGTTGTTCGTGAACTCGTGATGACACTCGTGAGGGGATGGGTGATTAACACAAGAATTGGAAGAAAAAAGGTATAAAAAGCAAAAAATTCTGATGCTCCTCTTTAAATACAAAATTAGCAGCATTCAATACTTACAGACTAAGCACTGCTTGCATGGAGATGAAGAGAGCTGGTACATTAAATGTCTCAAAAAATATCTACAACATAAACCAAGCTGGGATAAGTACATGTACCAGGCACACGTATAGTGCTCATTACTGTCTCATGCAGTAAAATTTGCTTCAGTGAAAATGACTGTTTCTGTAGCTACCACTACTACTGAAAACCAATTACCACCTTGAAAAAGGAATTTTACCTCAGCAGCTTTCTCTCTGTTTCTTCGTGGATTTAAAGGTGCTTCTGTCAATAAAACAGGATGCTAGGGGGAAAAAAGAAATGTTAACAAAGACTTAGCAAAGTTTAGTTGAATTGAAAAATTACCAACATCCAGATTCCTGTGGCACTGAAAAAAAAAACGGTCTTATACTAAGAGCAGTACTCAAAGTGGTGTATAGCATACATTATAGCCCACAACACACTTTACTTAACTTGTTGTTTTGATATAATAATAATAATAATAATAATAATAGTAATTTATTCTTATATTGTGCACTTTTCATGAAAATGATCAAGCGCGCATTACAAGATTTCTATCTATAATAATTTAATACAGGGTATCTAACTAACAATTGTTTAAAATATACTATGATAAAATTAAAATATACAACATATGTTAAGATACTACTGTTACTGACACTATATATATAGTTTTTCTTTGACTGTTCAATTTATAATAGATTTACTTAACATACAGTAAAATACCCCTTATGCTAACAAAGCACTGAAATACAACTTGTTTTTTAATCTAAGATTGACAAAGCATGTATGGAAAAATTCACAAACACGCAATGTTTACCTCTTCAGAAAAGGTCTGGAGCTGGTCCTTGGAATAAATATACTTGAAATAAAAAAGAAATAAAATTAATAAAAATTAAAACTGAGTGACTACTTAACAGATATTACAAGGACTTAGCAATTTGCAAGACTTACCTGCCATATTCTTTCCATATCATTCCAATCTCGCACAACACCATGCTAAAACAAAAAGGATGAGGACATTTACAGCAAACGAAGTGAACAGTGCTTACATGTACAGTAATTGGCTCTAATAATATCTTTTGAAAGCTCAAAGAATATTATTAATCCTCAATGTGCTAATACAGAGCATCCAGTGAGAACAATGTATTCCCACGTTCAGTTCAGTAACATTTTACTATAGAAGCTGGTTGACTCTCGATGTGTGTGTATTGCAGAGAGCTTGACAGGGGTTATTCACCTCAGAGACAAAAGCAGCATTGCAGTTACTGCACTTTCCAATAACACACAAAATCTGGAATTTAATAGCCAGCTTACAATAAAAAAATGCATTTTTCGCTGCTGCAATGGTAATTGATTTTGATTATGATCACATGCAACAAACCCTGAAACACAGAAACTCATAAAATGGATCGAAATTCACCAATCACAAATCACAAACCCTGTTGTTTTGAACTCAGAGAAGCAAAGTTCTGTTTCTTGAGAGGTCAACTTAGATGATTGACAGCAGTGAGGAACAAAAACTTGAGTTCGCTTTTGAACTTCAGAGTTCCCGTGTTAATTAGTGAAAAGAACAGTAAGAAGGTGGTGCATGGGCACCAACTGAATATCCACTAGATCAACCCCGCAACCATAGAGATGTGTTGTCCCTTAAGTAATATTGTAGCTTGTATCGAATTAGGGATTCAGTACATGTATTTTGAAGCATGGATAATAGTTTAGGATGAAATTCAGGTGGTTTCAGCCTAATTTGATCATCAGTTTTTGGCTTCTGATTTATGATGCCTGTAATGCAAGTACAAGACAAAGTAAATAAAAAATCAAGCTACACCTGTGATTTGAGGTCAATTCAAGCTTAAGTTTCCTTTCAAACAACATTGTACAAGATACACATTTTATTAAGATGGACATTTTTCACTTACTTCCATAGGATATCTGATATTAAGAAGGCCCCTGTGTTCCTATACAAGGGAAATCAATGTTAATACAGGCCTGTCAAACAACAATTTTGAAGCTGGGGAATTGACAAGATAAAATCCTAACAATTTAAGCTACATGTACAGAAAAATTACAACTTTATAAAAGCAATCTGATTTCTTATAAGGCTATAATAATGAATTTAAGATGGACAGAAACAAAAATTTGAAACGGTTTGAAGCTTTCAGGTCAAAGAAAAGGACAGGTGAACCCTGTTACAATGCCAGGGAAACTTGACTTCAATATCACCCTTTCAGCAAGCACCTGTCACATTTTTCTTGCCCAAGGCCACTTCTTGCTTTTCCTAGTCAATAACTTTGTAAGAGTCAATAACTTTGTAAGAGGATGACTTGCCTGGATCCTTACCCATTGGGCAAGTTAGCTGTAAAAGTTACTTGCCCAGCAAGAAAATATACTTGTCCCAGACAACTGGATCAGATTTAAATTCGAGCCCTGCATTATACATCTGTAGACAATCCAGTGGTGAAAATGCTACCCCATCCAGCTGCACATCCCCTTTAGCCTGTTACTAAGAAGTACCCCCTTGGGTTAAAATGGTCACTAACAGGCTTCATGAATTTGGCAATATATTGATATTAGTGGGGTGGCCTTGTTAGTGGGATAGGGTCATATTTTATTGTTTCAGACACCTGACTACATTCCATCAATCAGGGTTCATTATACTTAACAGTGCGATTTGACAGTTTCCATCTGAAGCATTCCACATACCTCAGCTTTTGGTCCAATAAATATATCACCCTCTAGTGCACCAGCCATTACCCGCACATGTTTAGGTCGACCAACACTAAAACCAAGGAGAGCAATCTACATAAAACTCAGAAATAAAATATTTCATCCCAATAGCCTAATATAGCTGGTACATCTTGATAAAAGTGAGATAAGAGTGATATCCAAAGAAAAGACAATGCTAAAATTTCACTGTGATTCAACTTAGCCTAGAAATAAGACTTCTGATTTCTTGAAATTACTTCAAAACAATTATAAGAGTTTATACAATCACTCGAAAATTGAAATAATGATTCTTAACTACGCTAATAAAATTCCTGTTTCATTTAATAGGCGTATTAAATTTTGTTTAATATTGTTTTCACAGAAATGGGTTTGCACAAGTCTTATATTTATCACTGGAAATACCTACAAGTTTGGAAAATGGTATTTTGGAATCTGATCTCCTGCAAATCCAGCTTTAATGACTCCTGATCCCTATGAACAACAAAAGTCAATGCTAAGTAAATGAATCATAACTTAGTACTCAAAGTTAGATAGCCACCCCCGATTTGTAAATAAAAAATCGATACAATGGCAGTTTGAAAACAGTTTTGAGTGTGCCACAAATGTGTAAAAAAATTAACCTTACATTGTCGATAACAATAGGTTGATTTGCTATCACGTCAAATTGATCCATAGTCCAAGATCAAAGAAATATTTATACTAAATAAATGTTCTGGACAATCATGAAGTTTAGATTTCAAAATGCAAAATGGCGGACAGGCCTTCCCTTCACGTGACAAAACTTAGCCAATCATACGGGCCTTCACAAAGCTGAGCCCAACTTACCAATGAATCCCTAGTCAGCGGACTCCCAAAGAAATATTGCTAAAAAAATGTCAAAGATGGCGGCGAAATTAAGGAATGGGTCGTATCATTTACTGGCCGAAATTGGGGCACGAATACTCTTGTTCGCTATATTTGTGTAAGTTTATTTCATTCCTTTATGTTTTTTTTCTGTCAGAGGTTAAGCTTCCTCGTAAAATTGGGTTTTTATCTATGAATTCTTCTAAGGTAAATAGTTGACGTGTGGAATATTCGTGAAGACCCGGTGAACTCCACGCATGTTTTGAATGAGGGATAGATACACAAATGCATTCAGTCAATCAAATTACCCGAAATAGAATATACATGTATGAAAATTGAAGATACAAGACATGTATAAGGTCTTCCAATAAACTGATCTCAACTAAAATCATCTGTTGACAGCTGTTTGTGTCAGGTTTTCTAACCCTTGGCTCGTAGCCTATGTCGCATGCAAACAGTCTAAATCCCCGACTACATTGAATTTTCTATCCGGCTCTCGAGTATCAAGTCCGGCTGCAACGCAGGCAATTGACTTGTTGTCTTGAGATAAAATAATAGATTATATTACAGTTTATTGGACGCAGCTGAGGAGACATAGGTGATAGGAAATCTCACAAAGAAACTGATCCATTTTCATTAGTTTGTTGGTAGGGTTGGTGAGTTTTCTGTCCATTAATTAATCAACTGATTAAATGTACATCTTATCAATAATCATTGTCACAATAAAGGGCAAACCTGTTACTGTCAAACTCAGATAACCGGGAACATTTTGAGGGTGTAATACTGTGTTTGTAATATGAAGGGGTGAAGCCAGAAAATTCAGGAAGAAGGACTGGGAGGCTTACCAGCTCAGAAGGTTCTATTAATTCATTGCTTAATGAACTGAAAGCGCATCTCAAACTTTCATCTCCAAAATTTAATGTGCTTAAAGAAGACAGATTTTCCTGAGATTGCTATATTTTAACACATTTCATATAAAAGGGGCGTCCACAGCCCCCTCCCCATCTAAAACCACCAATGATATTTCAAGAATTTTTGTCTTCTGACCAATAGCAGCAAAGATAAGGAAGTGTGCACATGCCATAAAGACTAAAAACTAATTACCACTGTTTCCCGCAATTTAGTTTTCTTATGTCTGCATGACTTTTTCCGACAAACATACATTTAATAACATTCTCAAAACATTACTGACATTTGCAGTTTTCTGAGTTTCACAGTAGGCTAAACACCAATAAGCACACATTAATCCCTCAATACCTGGAAACTAGTGAGAATAATATTATTGATTAATAGTATTTTTTCTCTTTTCAGGGCACTTGAATATACAGCCCCATTTGTTCGGGTCATTCACCAAGAGGAAATGTGGTTATATAAAAATCCTAAGTCAAAGAACACTATTTCTACAGAAATATTATTTGTAAGTTTCTCTGGCAACTTCACTACTTTTTCATAGATTGACTCTAGATAAATGTGGTCATGTCTCAGTGAAGATCCTGCAAGTCCTGTTATGTAGGTTTACAGGTGTAGTTTTGATAACTCATGCAGGGGGTGAAATAACTCACTGACTTTTCCTGGACTTTCTTGCAGTTTAAATGGAAATTTAATCAATAATGAACTACATTTCTGTTCTCTGTGATGTTTTGATACACATCATACTACAGTGGAACCTCTATAAGGTGGTTCCCTTTGGGATAACAGTAAGTGGTTGCAGAAAGTAGTTTGGCCCCTTAGAATGTCTTGCTCATCAGACAGCCATTTAACAAACACTACTTTTTATTACTAGGTGATTTCTGCAATCATTCCAAGTGCTCTTATCTTAATTCTGGCATTTTTACGCAAGGACAAGGTTGATGGCACACAAGCAATCCTTGGTAGGCATTAATGTGTTTCCTTTGGTGCTGAATCTTACCTTAAAGCATCATTCAATCAGTAATAACATAAGCAACATTTAAACAACATTAGTTGAGCTAAGAGAATACCTGTAATCTCATGAGATGTTAGACCATGCCAGGTCAAACAGTTGAACAACATTCCCCTAACAGTTTATAAATAGATAATCATGGTTATCAGAGAACACTTGGGAAACTTAGGGTGGATTTATTTTCAGCATACCTATAATATAGGTATGCTATAGGGTGTCAGCTATATTATAGCTGACACCCTTTGCTCTCTGGAACATTTTATTGCAAAAGAAATTAAAAGTAATGAAAAAATTCCAGCATGCAAATGTGATAGCTATATGTACATGTACAACGTATATGTTGTAAATAAATCCACTCTCAGGAACACTGAAATTGACGGGTCAATTAGCGGGTCAAACAGCTTCAAATTTCAAAAGCAAAGAAAATAGGGTGACGAATAAAAATGCTTTAAACACCTCACTGCTTGTCACAACATACAATGTCACAATTTCAAACAGTAAAAAACATTTTCCTTCTGCAAAATAAAGTTGTAGTCTACTGTTGTTCCAATTTTGTGACTGTTTGACCAGGGTCCTGTTTCTTGAAAAGGCATGGTGCCTTTTTGCGCCCAAAGGCAAATTTTAAAATCAAAACCTGTTAAATAGTACCATAGTTCCCAGCTTACAAACTTGTCTATTGCGCTTTGTTAACTGATAGTTTCATTTGTCACTTTTAAAATTATTGAAACTTTGATCTTGAACGCAAACAGGGCAAACTTAACAGCTTTCCGGGCCCCAAAAGTTATTAGGACTTTCGAGAAACACACCCCAGGCCTTAACCTTTCGATTACCCATCTTCCAAATCATGTTTTACTCATTGTCAGTAATTTTTTGTTCCCATCTTTTCCAGCTTTGTCCCTAACTCTTGGACTGAATGGAGATGTCACTAATATTATTAAAATTCTTGTAGGCAGGTAAGAGATAGAAATAGGAATGAATAGATTGTCATCTAGAGCAATGAAACAGGGATTTCACAAAATGCTTGAGCCTCATACAGAGTTAACCAATTTATTATAATGAATATTAAATTACTACTCAGTTGAATCATATTTTGGGTCAGGTATATGGCTGAATGAGTGGGTTGGAGTTGTGCCAAATTAATATTAGTCCAATGTGGGACTGTTCTGGGAACACTATTTCTTCCTATTATCAGCCATTTTGAGGTTGTATCGGCACAAACCTCGATTTAATGAAATCCTTGTTATAACGAACACAATAAAAAAAATGTACCTCAATATAATGAATAAATGTCAGCGTGTGAACGAAAGATAGCTTAAGACGAATGCAAACAGACTAATGAGGGTAAAATTTATGTGTACAGTAGTTTTAAGCAGTTTTGTTTGCCTGTTCTACTGCTGTAGCTATGTACATGTACAGCTCTGAACTGAATTTGTTCAGATCTGGAATGCTTTCTGTTGGAAAAATTAATTATTAACTATACCTCGATATAATGAACATTTTACTTGTTTTCCCAAAAATTCTTTAAATCAAAGTTTTCGATGTAGAACCATTGATATGACGAACAAATTTTACCAGTCCCTTGGCACTTTGTTAAATTGTATTAACATGTACATGTACACAATGTATGTGGGTGCAACACCCACCCAGCCATTTTTATTGGTTGCAAAAGTTAGAAATACTGACAAACTGTCAAAACCCCAAACACCTGAAATATTTCAGGAATGTATTTATAGTGTTATGACCAATGGCATAAAAAATAATGACAGTTGAGCCAGCCACAAAACCACAAACTAATAACTGTTGCTGCTACTGCTTAAGTTTTCCCCATGCCTGATTGGCCTTTTTCATGCAACAATAACATTTCTAGTGTTTACAGTTTTGTTAACTTCACATTAACGCCTCATGGAATTTGTGACTGTCTCTACCCTAAAGTTTGCTCTCCATTTGATTCAAAATCAGACAGAGTGAATCAAACTACATGAATTACATCGTCAACAAGTCAAATAAGATGTATTATGGGATTATCTTGCAGGCCTCGGCCCGATTTCTTCTGGCGTTGTTACCCCAATGGGAGTATTCCTCCAACCCAGCAGTGCGATGGAGATCCAGATGAGATTCAAGAAGGCAGAAAAAGCTTTCCAAGTGGACACTCATCATGTTAGTTCCGTTCAGTAGTAATTTGGCTTTATTATGATCAGTGGGTAGAAACTAGTGGTGCAGAGATCATTGATTAGAATACTGTTAAAAATACAGTGGAAGCTCTTGTAAGCCAACACCCTCAGGATGCGAAAAAAGTGTCTGTAACTGGAGCTCAGGCCTCATACAAGAATGTAAAAATACAGAGTTTGTATGGCAGTTGAGTGAAAGGGGTCCTTAAGTAGAGCTTTCCATGTATGGGAGCGTCTATTAGGAGATTTTCTACTGTATTTATGATCAAAATCTTAAACTGATTCTATACCGGAAAATAACAAAACATGTTTTGAACTCTTCGTTGCTGATACATAAGTGATGTAGCCCACTGAATGTGTTTTAACAAGACTAATGGTACACAATGTAACAGTTTGTATTCTTCCCAATGTATTTTTGGGTCTAATAATGGTTGGACGGGACTAATTATTTCACAGCTTTTACTCATTTCTTTTGTTTATTGTTATAGTTGCATTCAGTGGCCTGGGTTTTCTCTCCCTTTACTTTGCTGGAAAGCTTCATTGCTTTCAGGCGCAGGGCCGAGGACAAGGATGGAAGCTGTGTGTTGCTTTAGTTCCAGTGACATGTGCTCTGGCTCTTGCACTTACTAGATATTCAGATTATCGACATCACTGGCAAGGTACAGGTGTATCCCACTTTATTGTAGAGTTTAGGACACTTTCTGTAACCAAACTGGATCTCATATCCAGTCAACTTTTCAATAAGAAAAAGCCTCTTTTGATGGATGCCATTTTTTGCATACATATTGTGTGATACAACCAACCCATGGTATTCGTTTTGACCTTACAGATTTCCTATTCTTTTTTTAAATTTATTGGCAAATATTTTGAGGCATACACTACAGTTGTATGATCAAGACATAACCTTTCCATTGTTTGTCCTTTTTCAGATATTACAATTGGTGGAATTCTAGGTAAGTGCCATATTAACATTTTATTGAGGCCAAAAGAGTTTTTGCTTTAGCCAGTTCCGGGCATTCAGATAGTGGGGATGGTGCACAGAAAAGTGAGCAGGAAAAAACAGCGGGGAGGGGTGGGGTGGGGTTCCCTCCTTACTCCCTCTTCCTGTCTTCTACTTTTGTCACTCCACTCTCCATCTCTTTCCTCTCTCCACCATCTGAACGCCATGGAAAATACCTGTGAATCCCCTTTCTTGTTGAACGATCATGATTTTTTATTTTTTTTATTTTAACCCGTTCACCCCTGGAAATTTTGCCGATCAAAGAAAAGGTAGGTGGGTAGTGGGACATGGAAATTTTCAGGGCAATGAATCATGGTTTTTTGCCTTTATCTCCGGTGTCCTTGACTGAATTGTGCTCAATTTGGTATGGTTTGAAAGATCTCTTCACTCTGCACAAGTTAGCGGACAAAGTTGTCCTTGAACTTCAAAACTGATGACGTCACAAGCGGTAATAATAATAATAATAATAATAATAGTTTATTGATATCCCTCTCGCAGCCTAAAGGCTGAATTACAAGGAAGGTCAGTGACGCTAACAGAAGCCAATACAGTACAAAAACAATCAAATAGATAATTATGTAAACATGATTAAAAGCACTACATAACAGAGAAAAAATAACAAAGCACAGGATTACAACTGGTCTTGAAACTTAATGGTGCAGAAATCTGCGAATCGGTTTGTCTTGGGGACAAGGCGCACCTGAACACGTTCACCTGAACGGAGGCAGTATGGCCTGTCAATTGACACACAAGGAATTAATGGCTTGAGTACCGGAGACGACAGGCAGTCACGCTTGATAAAGTTAATGCAAGCTTCCTCCCTCCTCTGGGAAAGGGCAGTGATGCCAGATTGAATTAGGGCGTCGTCATAGGCATACTTAGGCAGGGCTGCCTAAGTAGGGCAGGTATATTCAAGTACAGATCTTACAGTGCTACAGTACACTTGCACTAGCTGCGAGATAGTGAGGCCATTTTTTTTTTAAGCGCGCGCAATGCGTACAAACGCTTGTTGGCCTTTTTGACTATGTGCTCTATGTGGGCATTCCATGAAAGGTCATCAGAGAAATAGACACCAAGAGCTTATAGGTCACAACCCTTTCAATAACAGAGCCTCCAGCGGTGAGGGGGGCAGGGGGGAATGGGCTATACTGCATAAAGTTAGAAGGGACGTGAATCCGCACGGACGGTTACGGGCGGCTCAGGGGCGAATGGGTTGAAAGTTAAAGTTACTTGTCTCGTAAATTTACGTGACTGTTCTTTATTTCTTCCATACAGGCTTGTTCCTTGCCTATCTTTGTTATCGGCAGTACTATCCTGCTCTTAACAGACCTCACTGTCACATGCCGTACTGTGCCATCACACCAATTATCAAGCACGTTGATGAACACGATCATTTATTGCCAATGACTGTTAGGGAAATTAAAGCAGTACATCCTGTTGTGGCGAAATCACTTTGACGATCGTCAAGTACCACATCCTTTTATTAGAGTGTTATCATCATGCTTATATATTTATTGTAGTATTATTATTCTGGGTATTGAAAAGGGACCTCTTATTCCATACTGCAATGTAGGACACAAGGCCATTGTTTTTTTTAATTATAACTATTAAACAGAATAAGATGTTAATTAAGTTGACGTCTAATACACCCCAACTGCTGTAAACATGTACTGTGCCCAAGACGTTTTCTTTTACTACAATAAAAGATTACTAAGATACTACTTAAAAGAATGGACTCTGATACACAACTGGGACAGGACAAAGAAATTTTTCCACTAATGCCGACACTGACTGTTTATCATGATTGTTTCAAATGATTGTTACTGTGCATTATTATTCATTCAAAATATTTCTCCGTTTCTCATTGTCTAAAATCCCACGGATAATTCCGAGGGTCTTGAACTCCATAATTCTTTAGATGATACTCAACCTCGTCCAATAATTGTTAATTAGTTATGATACTGACCTACTGTCGGCTCTCTCTAAGAAGAACACTAGTACCAAGTGTCTTTCTCAAGGAGGTGTCTGCTATAGAGAGTAAAAGAAATTACTGAATGGCCTGGACCGAGCGCTTCAATATATGCCTGTGTTAGGAACGTGTCTGTCCTGCAGAGGTGTCTTATAGAGGTAGACTCTATAAAAAATTAAAAGACAAAGAGACCGAAAAATATATTTATTTATTTATTTCAACAATGATTGAGAATAATAATTGTCCGAAGCTGTCAATTAAAACAAACATTTGTGTATCGCCTTCGAGTCATTTTTGTTGGAAGTTTCGTCACCTGTTCCTCAAAGTGCAAGTGCGGCCTAAATTCAACGAGCCCCGCTTTTCCTTCTACTTTTCTTACCAAAACACGAACGCGGAGTTATAGGGCACAACAAAAGGCCAAGCTATACTAAATCTGTTCGACAAATTGGTGAAGCCAGCGTTACCGCGGTTTTAAGTGTCCAGAAGGATTTGACCAGCAGCCCTTTTTGGCTCCTCCCTCTTAAAGTTTTTTTGTGCGCCTACTAACATCCTAAAGAAAGCGAAATTTTGCTATTTTAGCGAGACAACGAGCATTTTTGTAACGATGTTTCTTCTTCCCTTTATATCCATACCCGAAAGTTACGTTTTCTATTATCGTCGTTCAGCTTACCTTTTTGATTACTTACGTTTCCAACTTAACTTTCGAGTAAGTAGAGATTTTATGCTTTCTGTTGAAGGTGGGCATTTGTTCGACCGATGTTCTCCATTTATTAGGTTCAGAGTTAGACTACATACTCATTACCTGAATATATTCACCTGACGTTAATCTATTAAAGGTCTCAATCTGCAAATACGTTCTCGACAAAAGTTCCACTTTGAAAAAACAGCTAACGATTTCTCGGTATGGCAAATAGTTGACTTCTATGGGAAACGGTCGAAAAACTGTGATGACCTTGTTTTCACTCTTTAGTGAATCATATGCATACAATAGAACTGCAGGAGGAAGAATTAAATAGGAGGAAGATAGTCGCAGTGGTCTAGGCTTCGAATCCCTTATGAGCCTAAATTTTTCAGTCTATCTTTTCGCAACTACAAAAGATGCAACTGTAACGACGGTGATCTTCACGGTTGGTTTTAGATTTAGACTCACGGTTACGGCGAACGGCAGATTCATGTTGATCTCAAAATAGAAAATAAGCTGATAAAAACGGTCCAAAGGCTTATGAACGAAATTGATGAGAAACTAATAAAGAACAGTTAAAAGCAAATAAAGGGAAAACTTGGTCACGTCGTAAAAATTTCCGTTGCCGTGAACGTGATTCTAAATTTCTCTAATTCTTTTGGTGTTTTGTACGCGCACGTTTGAAGTAAAATCAAAATTTACTAAAACAAGTGCTTCTTTTCCTTTCTTTTAGGAATATGAAGTAATTAACCCAAAGTAGAATACACCCCCTACTAAGACTAGTGTAATAATAACTATATTTTATTGAGGGTAGCGCGGTACAGTGAAAACTGATAAACCTATGGTTCTCCTCTGTCTAAATTCGCCATTTTGGTTGGCGCGAAGAAATGAAAACAAGATCCCAGGTTTAGGGATAATAGGAAAGGAGAATAAGAGGCTAGGAACGTAACAAACAATGCTGTTTTTTATCCTGTTAACTGTGTACAGCCCCTCTACTTTGTGCACTGAAAATCGTTGGATTCATTGTGGAGCCGCTGTCTTGGTAGACTGTTTACAGTCCCCTATTTTTCCGTAAGATCGTCGAGCGCTTTGGGTTACGGGAAGCCATCTTGGATGAGTGTCAAAAAAAACTTAAGGGGCGGGGGGCGATTTGGAAGGAGGCAAGAAAAATAGAAGGACCCCCTATTTTTCTTACTTCCTCCCAAACCGCCCTGCGCCCCCTGAATAGTTTTAACACTCGTCCAAGATGGCTGCCCTTAACGCAAAGCGCTTGACGATCTTACGGAAAAATTAGGTATGGGTGTGGTCCCGTGTTTAAATTTCAGAAAAAAATTGTAATTGTCACGTCTTAAGAGCGTTGCGCGACGACACTAAAAACGGCTGCGTGGAACCGGACTAGTCATGTCTTGATTCTGAAAAACAGAATCAAGAAAACATGTTTAAAAGAAGAACCACTCTTCAACTACTTAGAATAAGCCTGTTTTTTATTGTCATCCACTAACCAGATACCAGAGACAAAAGCTTACGTTGCGGAGAGAAACAAAGAAAAGAATGCCGGGTGGAGAGGGGAAAAAGAACATTTCTCCCTATCCGCTTCTCCCCCCTCCCCACCATATCCTTGCTTCTTCTCTTTTGAACTCCGCCCAGGTATAGTCTGCCCACACGCCTGTACCTGGCCTGCACAGCTGGCGGAATTGTTATGCCCAGGGTCACTCCCGCCAGGGTATTTTCTAGGAGGCGGAGCTGCCACGCGAAGCAAGCGCCGAAGCCGCGAGGGATATAAGGTAGCAGCGAAGAAGCGAGACCGCCAAAACCATTACAGCACTCGCCCACTTATCCCGCAATCTACGCACACCATAATCTCGTACCCAGATTTCTTGTTGACAAAGCAGCCTTTGTCAGTACGAGATCTGGGTACCAGATTACGCATATCAGTCTGTGCCTTATCATAAAATTACTCTGGGAGTATTCGGACCCAGTTGTTTAGAGGCGTCTTCACGTTTATCCAGCTTATTTGGTAACAAAATTTTCACAATGTTTTTTGACAAGTTGGTATTTTAATCCTCGCCCAAAAAGCCTCTAAGTCATGCTTTTTTCTTGCTCATGCCCAGCGAGAGAGACGCTCCAGTAAAAAGTCTTGCTAATCCAAATATTGGAAGCAGGAATATAATAAAGGCCATCATAATTACATAATGACTGATACTTGTTCCTATATCAAGCCAGCTTCCTGAATCCTTCACAAGATAAAAGAAATGCAGTCCCATAAGATCTGTCATCACTAGAACAACAAGCACAAGACTCTGCACTGGAATTGACAAAACCACGTGTATGGCATCAAACGCACATGATACAATCACAAACGGAATAAGAACCTTACAGAGGAGCAAACTACCCATAACAAATGGTGAAAATACTGTTAGGAAACAATACACTGATGCTGGATCGAAACTGTTAATGCTTGCAATGTTGCCAGTTCCAAAAAAAGCTACGATTATGAAGAAGACAAAGAAATAAGCGCAACGAAGATCTTCTAGGGTGAGTTTTCTAATGACAGGAGAGTTTAGTCCTTCTGTGAGAACCTTCCAGGCTGGCTGATGTGTTGTTGTAGAGCTTTCATAATTCAGTTGGGTCTCTAAGAGTGAGTTCAGCGTTTTACCTGACAGTTTGTGTTCACACAAAATCCACGCTCCCATAAGTAAGGAAAGGGCTAGCAAAAACAGCCCTTCATAAGCGGTACTCATTAGCAAATAAACTGAGGAAAACGCAATGGCTATACTGGAAAATCTGATGACCAAATTACTGGAATTGATAAGAGGCAGCAAAAACGAAGACACGAAAATTGTCCAGCTTCCAATTTGGTTGATGACTGGGAGGCCAAGTTTCAGCTGCAGGTTTGATGCGGTGCTATTGACAATGTACACTGCCAGAATCACAAGCGTCACTTGAGGAAGCAAAATTCTCCAAGATTTTGATATTTCTGTCTTGAGGAGACTTAAAGTGTTTGAGATATAAAGCAACATGACAGTGAACAAAACCAAAGTTATTACTCCCGCCACGGAGACTAACATGTAGTTTGCTTCACGACCAACTACTGGAAGCATTGGGAACACAGACAGTGCGAGGCTAAGTACCATCCAACAGGCTACTGACAGCTTACAGTTTGTAAACAGCGTGTTACTGAACGGCCAAACAGCCAGGCAAACCAAGCCAACTGACAGAATTTCACGCCTAAAGAAACTCATTACAAGAATCTCTAAGGAGAATGCACCAAACATCAACGTAAAAAGAACTCTGCTTTGCAGTTTCTTCGCATGGATGTAATCCAAAGCAGCATGTACCATGTGAAGTCTTTTAGCAATGCGGTTCCAAAAAACTAACGGCAATAAGCAATAACTATGGTACATCCACGGTGCTTTTTGAATGAACAATAACAGAACTATAACAATGCCTAAACCAAGAGATGTACTGTCCACCGTAAAAGATTTAACCAAAGCATGATATTGTTTGTTGCGCAGCTTGGAAGCTTCTTTTAGGATATCACTATGGTCTTCGATAATCTGTAGCACTATACAGAATATCCAGCCTAAAAACCCAAGAGTGACCATCAAATTCAAGAAAACACGATCATAATTCTGATAATAACTGAGTCCATCTAAAGAAAGCTGGATAAGTTCCCTACTCAGGCTGATAACTTCTTCATACTTTTTGCTTCGCAAGAATTCCTTTATGTCACGTATCATTCCGGTTTTCTTTGCACCTAAAAAAAGACAAAAAAAGAAAAAAATGCACCATGAATGCAAGGTGGCCAGATAATAGATTTTAGTTCACATGACTTTTCTGTTTGCATTTAAATCAATATCGATTACGAAAATTCCCGGGGACAGTTTTGTAAGCCTGGGGGAGTATTCAAAAAGGAAATCAATCCCCGATGAATAGCGTTTTTCTGCCACTGTACATAAATCTTCAAACTTACTTTCAAAGCAAGCCCATTTCTATTAAGGATAGAGAATAAGAAGCATTAAAAGTATTGACATTATAGACCTAGCTGAGACAATAAATTAAATACCCTGCAAATAACGCACTAGCAACACCTTAGAGGTCAAATGTCCCCATTTCAGAGGGAAAGAAAATATTAGGGAGTTCTGCATCTTCTAACAGATTCTGAAAGTATCAGTTGGATCGGTCAGACAATTAAAATGGAATTGAAAGTTGGCAAAAAATGTCGAAAAAAGGGTCAAGTGGTCAAACATCTTTTTAACGTAATGAACGACTAATATAAACCTCTTGTTCCTTTACCTGCCAAAGAGGTGAAAGGCCGAAACAGCAATGATGTCTTTTTCCTGAAGAGTTCCTTCACTTCATACTGTGCAAGAATCTGTTGTGCATTCATGAACAAGTTTTCAGCAATGTACTCTTCTGTGTTGTTCAAATATTCCACTGGTAAAACTCCCACAGAGTTCAGAGGAAACGGAACACCTGATGATAGAATGAAATAACAGTAGACCTTATCAATAATTTTTTACAGACCAATCCTACACAGTAACAATCACAAGACCTACATTTCAACTATCTTTAGTTAACACTGAGCGCTTTAAGAACTGCTTAGTAAATAGGCTATGCTTTAATTATAACTTAGCAATATGATTATTGTAATTCTTAATTTCAGTTAATTTTTATGACTTTTGTAACCTTCGATATGTATTTTATCGATTGAATAAAGATTATTATTATTACTATTATTATTATTTGTCAGCCCTACTTTTCAGTACATAATGCATGTTTAAATTTACCATATCCCCTACATTTCAACACACAACACACAATCAACACACAACTCCTCTAAAACCTACCAATCAGAGAAGTCATCAGGGGTGCAATATCTGCTTGACTGACATCTTTACGAGACAGATGAGCCAGCTTCCACTCATACGTTACATCTGGGATGTGACTGTTGTTTTCTGGAACTTGGGCAACACACACTCCAGCCCCCCATGCTAGTAATGGTGTCAGTGTCTCGTGTGGATGCCCTGCTCCATGAGATCCCCAGTTGGTCATACCATGATCAGCTGTCATTACATAAGCTGTCTGACCATCATGGCCATAAAAATCTTCAATCAGTTTTTCAATTTCTTTTATTCCTGCATCAACTACAGCAATATTCTTGAGGTATTCTTGCGAGGTTGGCCTGTGGGCATGGCCATTAGTGTCAATTCCTATTCAAAAAAGTCCTGTTAAGCATTCATTTTTCAAAGATACACTTATCTTTTAATTCTAATTCACTTACATGAAGTATTTTAAGTGTGTAAAGTTATTAAATGGACACCCTGAATAATTGACTGTAATAAGTGTGCACAACTAGTCTCANCCTACATTTCAACACACAACACACAATCAACACACAACTCCTCTAAAACCTACCAATCAGAGAAGTCATCAGGGGTGCAATATCTGCTTGACTGACATCTTTACGAGACAGATGAGCCAGCTTCCACTCATACGTTACATCTGGGATGTGACTGTTGTTTTCTGGAACTTGGGCAACACACACTCCAGCCCCCCATGCTAGTAATGGTGTCAGTGTCTCGTGTGGATGCCCTGCTCCATGAGATCCCCAGTTGGTCATACCATGATCAGCTGTCATTACATAAGCTGTCTGACCATCATGGCCATAAAAATCTTCAATCAGTTTTTCAATTTCTTTTATTCCTGCATCAACTACAGCAATATTCTTGAGGTATTCTTGCGAGGTTGGCCTGTGGGCATGGCCATTAGTGTCAATTCCTATTCAAAAAAGTCCTGTTAAGCATTCATTTTTCAAAGATACACTTATCTTTTAATTCTAATTCACTTACATGAAGTATTTTAAGTGTGTAAAGTTATTAAATGGACACCCTGAATAATTGACTGTAATAAGTGTGCACAACTAGTCTCACAACACTAATGCTGCACTAAGTCAATGAAAAAAACAATACTAAAATTTTAAAATGACAGTTAAACCTTTATGTGCAACCACTTCTCATTTAGCCTGTTCCAGGCTCCGAGATAGTCAGGCCAGCGGAATTGAGAAAGCGCGAACCCCCCCCAAAAAATGCGAGGAAACTGCGCCCTACACTTTCGCGTCTTCCCCACTATCTGAGAGCCTGGAACAGGCTACTTCTCATTGCCCTCATGAAGGACCACCCATCCAAAATAAAAGAAATCAGTTTTTCCAGTCAAAGCACCACAGTAGTTGGAACTCCTTTTAAGCAAAAATCTCATGCACTCCATCAGCAAACACTAGGTAATGGTTGCTTACTAGAGCTTTGACTATACTGATTTGACTGATTCACATGCTGATTCATTTTATGGCCATCCCATGACCCTGGGGAGGGCAGGGGGAAGGGAAACTCCCCTATATAAGGTATATGCGTATGTGCCACCCCGAAGGGTATAGTGTTTCAGTTTTGGTATGAAAAAAGGCATAGATTTTTCCCATTATGGTCTAATGTCAGGTATGGTTTCATTGGAGTGCTCAACATTTAAAAGTATTTTTTGTTTCAGCTCAAAATGAGTAGGACCCATGGTTTGTTTAGCTCAGATGAGAGAGCACCGGTCATCGGTCAGGGTCTCTAAATAACTAAGAAGAAAGTCCTGCCTTTGTAATGACATCTGAAAACAGTTAGAGTTTCTAGTCTTCTCGGATAAGGACGAAAAACCATAGGTCTCGTCTCACATTACTTTCATCTATCTGGTTCTCGTGGAACATAAAAGACCCACACCACTGAAAAGAATAGGAGATGTGGACCTTGGAGGTGTGGATAACCTTTCCTGGACTGGGTGGGTTATCTGTGAGGGGAGATTTTAGTATAGGGATAACCTCATGATCTTCCTCCAGGAGTTGTAATGGGTATACCTGTAAACAGTGTATGTATGGAATGCTCAGTGTCAAATACAAGTAAAACTACACAATAAAAAAATTCTTAAACTATATGTTGAACAAGTGAGAATCAAAGCTATTGATGAATTTAAATAGAAACTTCTTCAAGCAACCAACCTAGCAGGTGGAGAAAAAATACAATTTGTCCTTGAAAAAGCATCTTCTTCAGTGTTTCATTGGTTCTTGCACCATCAAAGAATCCCCTGACCTCATCAAACACCCAGGTGTCAAGTTTAGCAGCATCTTCATCTGCAAAATCCTCTGCAATATCTGGGTACATGGAAGTAAACACATGATCTCCAGAGGCTCCCTTGGCAAACATTGGTAAAATATCAGGGCTTCCCCACGCCCATGTGTAGCGGCTTTCATTGAATGTGGAATCAAACTCTACTGGGTTTTCTTTCCAGCCTGTAGGAAGTATTACATAAAACAGGAAATTAGCAATATTAATTAAAAAATCTATGTACCCCATCTCTTTATAGACCCCTCTAAAAGACACCCAACCAAAATGATATACCTACAGTTGGCCCTTGCCATGTACCACAGTCATTTTCTTTGGCTGTCTAGATTGGACAATCCCAATTGTGCCTGCCTTGGAAAGAGCGAACTGTGCACATCTGCTCTGTGAAGCCACTATTGGACTTAATCATTTTTAGACAAGGGCATTTTTTACAGTCACCATTTTTTTCTGGACAGACAGGACATCAGCCATTTTTTTACTCTGGTCTGAATTTTGGTTGGTCTTTTAACAACTTGTCTGTCTAGGCAAAAATGTTGACCAAGAAAAAGAAGAAGGATGGACAAAATGGCAAACAAAATCAGAGAACTGGTGTCTAAAATTTTTTTTGTCCAATTTTAACACTAGATGACTTGTCCATCCAGACGATTTGTCCTTCAGTATGAAAACTGCCATTCGCACAAAACTGGAACAAGGAGGGGAAAAAATTGAACTGGTTTAAAACCCCTACATCAAATAAATTTTTAACCACACCTTATTAACAAGGCTAGGCCATTAGAGGTCAATTATTTAAACGAGGTCTAACTTAGACTGCAGTTTAAGAAATCTTTGGATCTCCAGATATCTTCTTTAGTGGGTCAATTTAAGACGATAAATTTTTTTTAGTCTACACTATATGCTGTTCACAACAAATGCTGCTTAGATAAAAGTGTTGGGTAAACTGAAAATGACTTAGAACACAGTTTTGTTAAACACTGGTTAAACTCCGTTTAAATAACGGCCCTACATGTATATATGCAACAGGTTAAAATTAAGTTCAGGTTTAACCTTAGTTGATTCTAAATTTCCTTTGTCTCCTAGCCTGAACTCATGAATAATTGGGGTTACGAGACAAAGAAAATTGAGAATCAACCTAGGTTAAAAAATTTAACCTGAATTTAATTTTAACTTGTAACATATATATTATGGCTCAATTTATCCTTGATTTAAGGCCATCAAAGAATATCAGCGCCAATCAAAACAAAACTGCCATGGACACAGATGCTCTGCAAAACGACAAACCAGCACAAAAGCCATTCTCTCAGCCCAACACGTGACAAGTGACCCCACCCCTTCCCGCTACAAAAAAAAAAAAAAAAAAAGAAAAAGAAAAAAAAAATTTNACCTTTAGCGACAGCGCTCACATCCTCATAAAATCCAGCTATAAGGGCAACATGTCCAGGGCGTGACTCTGTAGGAACTCTTGTGTGTGACACACCCCAGCTTGCTTTCTTCTCTATCAAATCTCTGAGGTATGGCGCACGACTTTTTCCGCGTTGATCGAGTTCAAAAAATTTGTCCGCTCTCAAACCGTCAGCAACAAATAACACTAGCCTCTTAGCTGGCGGTTCAAGAGTTGATTTGTGAGGCGTCATACCATGAACTAGTGGAGAAGTAAAATAAATATCAAATATGGAAGCTAGATAAATGATATGAACCAATATTCCGAGCACAAGCAAAGACCATCTTGCAGCCGCCATTTTGAATGATAAGGACAACCGCGGACTGCCACTATTTGTGGGCTCAGATTATGGCCGATGGAGACTGGAATAGGAATAGAGAGAAAATTCGCGAAAGCTCGAGAGTAGCCTGCGCGCAGACGAAATTAAACTCTGGTAAACTCCAACTTTGTTACAAGCAAATCAAATTGTGAGAGAACGAAAATACCCAAGAGTAATACAAGCAAACCTATCCAAAGCTACGAAGATGCCAGTCCAGTTAGCACCCGCTATTGGAATCGACCTTGGAACAACGTACTCCTGTGTTGGAGTTTTTCAACATGGTAAAGTGGAGATAATTGCCAACGACCAAGGCAATCGCACAACTCCCAGTTATGTTGCCTTCACGGAAACTGAACGCTTGATTGGAGATTCTGAAAAGAGCCAAGCAACATTAAACCCAAGCAACACTATCTTTGATGCCAAAAGACTGATAGGTAGAAAATTTGAAGACCCAACAGTGCAATCGGACCGAAAGAATTGGCCTTTCCAAGTCATCAATGAGTCTGGCAAGCCGAAGATACGTGTACAGAATAAGGGAACTTTGAAAACTTTTACGCCAGAGGAAATAAGCTCTATGGTGCTCACAAAGATGAAAGAAACAGCAGAGGCTTACTTGGGACAGAAAGTCACGGATGCAGTCATTACTGTGCCTGCATATTTCAACGACTCTCAGAGACAGGCCACTAAAGATGCTGGAATGATCGCTGGACTGAACGTTAAAAGGATCATCAATGAACCTACAGCTGCCGCTCTTGCTTATGGCTTGGATAAAAACCTCAGCGGAGAAAAGAATGTTCTGATCTTCGATCTGGGAGGGGGAACCTTTGACGTTTCGGTCTTGACAATCGATGAAGGATCGCTGTTTAAAGTGCGATCAACAGCCGGTAATACGCATCTGGGCGGAGAAGACTTCGACAATCGTGTCGTGGATCATTTTGCTGAAGAATTCAAGCGGAAATTCAAGAAAGATCTCAAAGGAAACCCGAGAGCCTTGCGCCGACTGAGGACTGCCTGTGAACGAGCCAAGAGATCTCTCTCGTGCAGTACACAAGCAAGCATAGAGATCGATTCACTTGCAGGCGGAATTGATTTTTATAGCAAGATAACCCGTGCCAAGTTTGAAGAACTGTGTAATGATCTGTTTCGCTCATGTTTAGAACCGGTGGAGAAGGCGCTCAAAGATGCTAACCTCGACAAGAACCAGATACACGAGGTTGTTTTAGTAGGAGGATCCACGAGAATCCCAAGGGTACAGCAACTTCTCCAGGAGTTTTTCGATGGCAAACAGCTGAACAAGACCATAAACCCTGACGAGGCAGTAGCATATGGTGCTGCATTCCAGGCGGCTATCTTGTCTGGGGACCAAAGCTCCGAGATTAAAGATGTTTAAGCCTTGGAATCGAAACCGCTGGTGGAGTGATGACTACACTGATAGCGCGCAACAGTCGCATCCCAACCAAGTCTTTAAAAGAGTTCACAACTTACTCAGACAACCAGCCAGCAGTCACCATTCAAGTGTATGAAGGCGAGCGAACCATGACCAAAGACAATAACCTTTTAGGGCGATTTGAGCTGACAGGAATTCCCCCTGCCCCACGAGGAGTACCCAAAATTGAGGTTTCCCTCGATATCGATGCGAATGGAATCTTAAATGTGTCTGCTAAGGACCAAAGCACTGGAAGAACCAATACTATCACCATCACCAACGACATCGGTAGGCTGTCCAAAGCGGACATGGATCGCATGGTGGCTGAGGCCGAGAAATTCAAGAAAGAAGATGAGATGCAACGAGAAAAGATTACCGCAAGAAACAGTTTGGAAAGTTATGTGTACAGCGTAAAACAGACAGCAGAAGACCCAAATGTTGTGAACAAACTGAATACCACTGATCTGGAGACAGTGAAGGAAAAGACTCAGGAAGTAATGGCATGGTTGGAAAGGAATTCCCTACAGGCAGATAAAGAAGAATATGAAGAAAAACAGAGAGATCTTCAGCAGGTGTGTTCTTCTATCACGGCCAAGCTTCATGGACAGCAGCAGCCGCATTCTTACAGCTCTTCCGATGGACCCACGGTAGAAGAAGTGGACTAAACTGTAATGTCAGTACTAGTAACATGAAATAGTGAACTTATGTACCGAGAATTTTAGTGCATATTTTAGCATCGCGTAGGGCAAAGACTGAACTTGCAAATAAAGTTACGTCCGCTGCTTACCGTCAGCTGTACCGTGTTCAGTGATGTTCAAAATGTTAACATTATATAATATCTTTACTTTTGGTTAAATTAGTTAACGTGGTAGATAAGAGACTGAGTTGTAGTCAGTAATGGATTTCAGTTTTCAGGGCATGTACGCGTTTTGGTAGTTAGTATTTTACAATCGTTGCACAACAAAGAACAAACTTTGTTATTGACACAATTAACCGTGTTTCGAGTCTATTAAGCTACCTTGGGCTGATTTCTTCCCCGTCCCTACTGTACTGTGTATTATTTGGTCAGTATGACGATGCCGGTGGTGGTTGCCGCTCACTGGTTGCCATGGATACGTTGTGTTTGTCTCTTACGTGATTGGAACCACCATCCTCAATCAATCAATCAATCAATCAAGTTTATTTCCATTTTAGTCAATACATTTTATTAAACTTATTATTATTAACAAATGGAGGAGGACTACAGAAACGCTTGCAGGCTTTTACAGGATAGTCCCCCTTTAACTAGCCTTAATATATTTCTCTAATATATTTGGTATCAGGGATTATCAAACATTTATCTAACTTGTATTACACTATTTCAAATAAGCATACAAAAATAGCAATAAGAACTAAGGTTTGATTACAATAGTTATTCTGATAGTAAAAACTGTTTGATCTTTCAAAGTGTAATATTTAAATTTTCTTTTGTAAAAATACATACACCACCACCAATTTATTTTCTCGGTTTATTTTAGTTAGGTTGTAGCCAGGAATAACAAGGTATCACAGTCATTCTCTTTTAGCCAGGTTTCAGTTAGGGCTATTGCTGAAAATTTAACCATCAATGAGTCTACGAGATTTTTTAGTGTATCAAATTTATTCCTAAGACTTCTCTAAGGCACCTATACCCAACCTCATCTATTAATGAATTTTAGTCAACGTTCAATGTGCTAATAAGACAGCGTCATACGCGTACGTATGAGGTACGCATAAGCACAAGCCTATAAAGATGATGCTAATTTATGACGAACCCCTATTAATTGGCCAACCTCCCTTAAGCGACCACTTGCAGGTACACCGAGAGTGGCAAGTCAGTTAGTAGAGGTTTAAGGTGTTTCGATACAGTTTTTCGGAGACAAGAACAAGATCGGACAAGAACAAAATCACTTTTAAGGCGATTGAAAAACATCGGTATGGTCTCCGAAAAACTGTATCGAAACCTCCTAACTGTACTTTCGCTTGTCTTAACCCTTAACTTGTGTTTGCGTCGCTGGTGAAAATAGGCTTTATTGAAGGCCACAGAAAACCAAACACAGACCTCTATTAAGCGGCCATGAATCACCTTTCCAATTCACAAGACACTTGAGCTATAGAAAAGTCATAAGCAAAGGAAGAAAACATTGTTGCTTTACCCAACTGTGGGAGAGTTCGAAAGTTGCGAAGTGCACAAAACCATCTCAAAAACATAACAGTGGGTGATTCTAAATAATTTTAAATGTTTTCGGACCCCGAAAGAGGATCAGTTGACCACCAATTCAATTGAGTGGAATCCGGGCCAATGACAACACGCAGAAACAAGGTATCGTCCACAAGATACCGCCTTGTTTGAAGTTTCTCGTGTGTTACAAATTGAGGCAACCCAAGGGAAGAGGGACTATTCTCCTTAGGCCTTTCCGTGACGTTATGTGTAAAGGAATAATCAAAATTTTGCTGTAAGAAGCGTTGTTGATCAATAAGGGTAAACTTCACAGCTGTCTTGAAGGGCCACGATAATAAAGCATCATATTCACCTTTAATTACGCTATGATATAATGATATGTGAGTGTTCTCTCCAGACCCAGCACCGTTGGGATAGAGCAATAACTGCATTTTGTAACCGCAACTTTCTGTGTAGAACGGATCGCTTATCTTCAAGATATCATGATCCCCTTCCTTTGCTTGCCTCAACTGTTCAGAAAAATTCTGAATTTTCCACACAAAACTCCTTGCCTTTTTCATCTGCATCACTTTACTTTCTACAGCTTCGTTTACTTGGTTTTTAGTCAGTTTCTCTTTCATTTGCCTCTGAAGTTTTTCTACTTTCTTCACCAAATCCCTTGTCGTCCCTTGCGTGTTAGTCAGTTGAGTTTGAGTGTCAATCAGCTGAATTTGAGCTTTGTTTAGCTCAACTCGGGTAACTGCTAACTGCTCTTGAGTGTCGTTTAACTTTACACAAGCTAAAGCAAGATGTGCTTCGGTAGAAGATTGAAGATGAGAAGCCAATTTTTCACGCTGAACCTACAAGAAAATGTGTACTTAATTACTAATCTTATCCCAGAAAGTATAACGTCACAATGCAATTGGCCGTGCAGGGGCTTCGACCGGTTAATGCTTGACCGATTGGCCAGAGACTATTATATACTTACTTGATTACTTCCCTTACCTACTTACTCAGGACGTAAATCATCCCGAGCCGTCCTAACAAAATCTTTCCACACGATCTGATCGAGCATTGCATCTCTTATTACTGGGCTGCCTGTGCGCCCAGTCATAAAATGGGCTTTCGGTCGTCGGTGTCAAAAAGTGGTCTCCCGGGGGAGGGAAGACACGAGGGTCTGGTACCGAGAAACGATGTTCTCACAAATGGTTTCATATGAGTTTCTCTTGCACGAACCCTTGCACGGATACTTTTTGTACCTCGTCTGCGCTCCCCCTGAAAAACCCACAAAGCGTTGCGAACCTGAAGAAGGGTATTTGCGTTGTTCGAAGCGATTCGATCATGGGAGTCACTCTATAATTTTTTTATTCTTCCAGTTTAAGTCAGTTAGATGATGTTGGCGCTGGGAAGCTCAGAGAAATGCTCGCGTTGCATTCAAACCGACACGCTGTTCACGGTAGGTTCACACTAAAAGATGACTGTGAGCGTCAGGTTTGGAACGCCGTGGCCGCTTCGTGAACTCAAAGAGAGAATTATCGATCGATGTAGTACATGAGCAATTAAGAAGCACAATTTATGAGCAAGGTATTTCACCAGTTGACGACACTATGGCTGAAGACTTGATTGTAAGCTTCGTAGTCAGTGAAGCGAACAACTCAGTTGCCGATGAATGGCACTACGCACGTCTATGAGCGAGGGACGTGACAACTTTGCCATGTTAGAAGACTGGCTTTTCCTTTAAATATTTCCTTCTATTTAATGCAACACACGCCACTTTGGAATTAAATTTAAATTTCGGATACTGAGGATAAAGAAGACACGGACAAAAATAGGGACTCTAAGAATTTCGCGCACAATGCACAAGTTTAAAGCTTCACCGGAACATCCCATCCGGGAGCTTCACGGAGAGCGACTTGAGGAAAATAGGAGCTATTACTGACAAGGTCTGGTGACTGAGTAGAGCATACAAGTGTAGCCTACGTCGAGGTTTCAGGGGGGTTGCTTTTGTTTGTATTTGTATCTTGCTAAGCTTTATTATTAAATTTGTACATGATCTTGTGATCACAATTCTGTGTTTTCGCCCATTCAGCAAGCACGCTATATTGATGTCAGCATTAGCGAGTTTCAGAAACATGCCTTTGAAAGTTTTTTAGCTCTCGTGATGTTTCTTGATATTTCTTTTACCATTTTATGGAGATGTTAACTGAAGTCACCGCAAAATGGAAACTTAAAAAAGCGTATAATCCATTTATCTCGAAACATAACACACATGACTTATACGACCTTTATTTTCGTAAAGGTGTTTTGAATACGAACGAACACAGTCAATGTGAGGGGCAAAAACAGCATTAATATAAATGAACCATAGGGTTTTAACAGAAACTCATGGGGTTTCTGGTTTTAACTAATATAAGGGTCAATTATTGTGCATTGAGATAAACGCAACATGCGAGCGAGAAGTCTTTAAACTTTTTTAGGTCTCAAAATGCAAAGGATTTTATTCCTTTAAGTTAGAGAAAAATACCATGAGGAAAATCTTAAAACTGAATATTTTTCTTCTTGTGGAAAAAATAGTGCGTTTTCTTGTAGACTGTGGACCGCAAATGAGGATCGCACTTTTCACAAACATGCGAATTCCGAAGTTCAGAAGCCAACCGACGATTGCGTTTTTCGCTGCTGTCAATCATCTTAACGGACCTCTTAGGAAACAAAACTCTACTTCACGGGTTCAAAAGGTCATGGTTTGTGATTTGTGGATTTCGATCCGTTTTGTGTGTTTCTCTGTTTCAAGGTTCGTTGCTTTTGATCGTAATTATGATTGACGGCAGCGATAAACACAATTGTGAAGGTGGCTTTTGAACTTTAGAGTTCGCATGTTTGTGAAAAGCGCAGTAAAGTCTCCGTGCAGTCAGTGAGGCCCCTGGATCAGGCGGGATCAATGGGCAGTTAACTGTCTGTTTTAGTATACTTCTGGTTTTCATACAATACAATATTTCTGTCTAGTGTAAATCAGCTCATTATACTCGTAGAACGACAACAATTTTTGGAATTTCCAGTTACGTCAAATTAGTTCACGTTATACTGTCACGCTATATTTTGGGGCACAGAGGGATTAGGGGAGGGGTACGTGGAAATAATGCAAATTGTTTCCTGCTTAGAATTAATGGCTAACTTGTCTATTTTTATTCATAGTGGTGGAATTTAAAAGTTATTATACAGCCCCCACTTAAAAATGGTACTCTTTTTTGGGGGTTACGAAAGTCTTTCAAAAGGGTACAATGTTTTGAATGAGTTTATGTTTCAGTCTCACATGAGGTTCTGTCGCATGCAATGGTTGCCGACAAGGTTTTATGGTAGCCTGAGTGTGTATAACCGCCCCCTCCCCTCAGAAAAAATAGCCCCTTGGCAGCCCAGTTAAAAATCGCCTTTCGGCGACTCTTGTTTCATGAGAAAAATGAACAGATTTGTATGATCAAAAAGCTTGACCGAAACATTGCGTTCTCTCTTTGCTGTAGCTAATTACTTTTCCACGAATTTTGGAAGAACCCAGGAACAATTGGCCAAAGATGACAACACATGTAGTGGACCAAATTTCAACCCAAACCGAGGCGTTCCCCAGGCATTTATGTTTCCACCAAAATTAGTGAGAATTTTGGTAAAACAGAAAAATACCTTACAAACTGAAAGGAAGCCGCTACTTGCGGTTTAAATGATGCTACTTAAGATTATATGCATTTGGATCAATAAAATACAAATTTACTCGAGTGACATTAAAAGGAGAACTCTTTTTAAAATTACAACAGAATTGTTAAAGACTCGCACCTTTGTATTGCAGCCCACTGAAAAATAAGAGCAGTGAATCATGGTAAGTGGACAGTCAGTTTCAATGTGATTTCCAATCTAAAACAAAGAGATCAGAGTAGGTTATCAATTATAAGTGTTTACTACACAACCGTCTTTATGACTTTTTCGTTCTTTCTTATTATTTTGATGCTTTGCATGTTAAAACATCTACAGAAACATGCTCCTCCACAGGATTGTGAAACACTTTTTTAACAGCAGCTCTAAAATAACTGCACACATCAACAGCATTTCTTGATCTAGAAAAGAACGGCTGCCATTCTCCATGAGTTAAGAATCTAGCTCCTGCTTAATGAGCTAAAAACAAACAAGCAATCTATTTGGCTCAGTGTGTGCTGACTTTACCTTCTCTCTTGCAATGACCTGACCACACCCATTAGAACAATCAGTAGGTATCTTCTGACATTCATCGGCGTGTTTCTGTGCACAAGGTAAAAGAAGTATTTTATTCCCAAATAAAAACTCTGCTTCTCTTTATGAAAATGCCTGATTAAGTAGTAATCCAAGGAAGAGCATTAAGGCATGCTAGCCCTCTTCTTCCCCTCCAACTTTACAAAAAAGTATAAATACATTAACAATCAACAAAGTGAATAGCCTGTGTATAGAAGCCCCCACCTCCCCTTTAAAATCGATTTTTACTGAGGGGAGGGGGGTCTGTACACAGGCTACAAAGTGAAAGGCAGTGTATTTACTCATGAAGAAATATCTTAGGTGCAATCTCAACACAACTGACACCTAAAAAAGGAATATTTAGATTAACAATAATGGAATAAGGATTAACAATATTATGACATAAAGAATTATGCAGATCAAGGAGGATGTTATCTAGCAACAACGTCTGCAAAGTTCTTCACATCACAAGACAGCCAAATTCAATGATTTATCAGTGTTACTATTCATTGAAAATATTTCTAAGTTCTTACATCCTCATAGGCTTTCTTCAAAACATTTGCTTGTTTCTCAGTACGCGTTACGGTTTCGAGATTATGAACAGATGTTTTTTCCTTGCAGATACTCCTCAAAAAGCAGATGAAATGCATCAAGCAATGTGTTTTGAGTATCCTTGCACTAATGTTGCATTCTGTTTTAGTCAGCGATTGGGCTATATATTTTCTCTTTGAACAGCCATGAACTCTTTTGCCATTTTCTTAAGTTTCACACTCATGTCAAAACAGCCGGGCTGCCACTGCTGCCTGGAAACAATTAGGTTGTGGTTGTATATTGGCAATATGCAACCATATCTACAGTGTTTATGCCCGCAGCAAAATATTTTGAATGAACTAATTTTGCCAGTTCCTAAAGCCCTATACTATTTTTAGGGTTCCATTATATTATAAAGAATTTAAATGACAAGTTTATGATGGTTGTCCGATACTCCAACAAATTTATGCATGGCATTGTATTGTATAAGTCTTCACATTATAATGCTGTACAAAAGCATAACAATAAAGAACGAAGCAAAACAATGAGAAACTTAACAAGAATGAAAGCAATGTATTAATTTGTCGGAGTGAGGTAATAGAGAGTGCAAAGTTGGTGATCCTGAAAATCACTTCCTGAAAATCGCTGTACATGTTGCTGTGTAAGGTACTGTCTCATGTAAGTTTTCTGTTTTGTTTCATTAATACTCCACCTGCCTCTGCGGCTTTGTTTGTACCAAAATTTGATGAACTAGCTGGGGTCACCATTCTTTCATAGGGTTCCACTCATATCATTTGTTACATTTTTCTCTATAAATTAGCTACTCAATAGTGGTGGTATTTTAAAGTATCTATAATTTATTATTTGTAAATAATCGCCTAATTTAACCTCTGGGTTACAATGTGACAATCAATCAATCAATCAATTTATCTATCAATCAATCTATCTATACATATCTACTCTTAGGATTAAAAATGTTCTGATATAGTTAATTTGTGATTACGAACATATTATTTACACTCCAATTATTTGTAAGACTCTTTACAAAGCCCATTTCTAAAAAAAATGTTGTATAGAGCTAAACAAGAATCACACTACACTAAATTACCTCTTCATCACATTTAACATGCTTCTCATTGCAGTACCCACAATGCACTATTCGCCACTGACACAAGTTAGTCACATGATCATCCACAAGTCTTCTTTCCATTTGCATGTGACAGTTAGAATTGGAGCAAGTGATAATCTTGTAACCACAGCTCTCCAGATGGGTCTAGAAGAGTGAAAAAGGATAAAAATTAGTTTTACACCCTCCTTGAGAAAGGTAATTACAAATTATGGGCGACATAATTAGTTGAGACACTTTTAACGTTTTGCCAACTTAAAAAAAAGGAAAATAAAGCTTTCCTTCCCCTACAAACACCATGCAATGTTGTGCCACTGTTCGAGCTACATGTATCTGTACAAAACAACAAACACCCCAACTTTACGAGACGGGGGAGGGGTGTTGTTTTGTCTCCAAAGTTACCCCATTTGACAACAATTTTGTTGCCGGTTGTAGAAAATTCTTGGAGAGGTACTTCTCAACCCAAATGTTATCAAAGCAAGCATCAGGCTATTAAGGGTAGGTAAATATGGATGTGTTATTGCTAAATAAATTTGTATAGCCATCAAATTCTGCAACAGGATATATCTAGTACACCAGAGCACAACAAAAACTGCTGTCTGATGTAGCCTAGGGCTAATGGAGCAACCAGTGTCAGGCTAGTAGAGGGGGGTGAATAGCGAACGGATCAGCGGATTTTGAAAATATTTTTGCCCGGATTTCGGATTCAAAGCGAGATTTAACGTATTTCCGGATCCTGCAATTGCAGCAGATTGAGGATTCATCTACTTTTTGGGCCCGGATTTTGGACTTTGCGTGTAATTCAAATGTTTTTGCCCGGATTTCAGATTCAGGGTAAAAATGAAAGGGCGGATTTGGTATCGGATCGCCGGATTTGCATACCCCTATTCACCCACCTACTAGCATGTTTTAATTGCAAGTTGTCTGATGGGCAAGTAACATTAGCCACGATATTGCATAAATGTTTATGAACAAAAGTGTTTGTACATGTGAGCCTGAATCCTGGGAAAGGAATGTACGTCGGTTTGAAGCAACGGCATGGGAACGGGGAGGTCACGTGACTCCAGCCTAAGCGGCTGCGAAGGAGACTGCCATAACTGCTGCAAGCTCATAAACCTCAGCACAGCTTGCCGAGTACAAGCAAATTTTTAAATTATAATCTCACCCTGTCCCCTCAAAATGACAAGAAAAAAAGGGAAGTAGATAATTTAGAAACAGGTTTCTCTAAGGTCTTTGGAATAAGTTCATGGTCAGTAAAACAACATGTACTTCTGACACAACTCTACTTTACCTCTACATATCTGGCCTCCCCAGTCCACTCACACTCTTTACTGGGGCACTTCACATGACAAGACAGAATATTTCTCTCAGTGGCTTTATCAGGAAATATATCCTGTAAAGAAACAAATAATCATTTACAGTCAAAATTAATAACAAAGTATCTTGCTGGAAAGTTGAAAAAAAAAATTACGACTTTCATTTTTTTAAAGTTTTGGCATACCGGTAACTTATGGAGAAAATGTCTCCGAGAAGTTGTGCCATTGTTTATGATAATGTGAATCAGATTCAGATGTCTGAATGATTTTCAAATTATTGAAAGTACAAGGAACTCAACAACACATTAATTCCAAACCAACAGCTCTTGTCGGAACATCACTTTTGCTGGATCAACAGAATTAATGGTATAAATTATTCCTTCTCTCCGACGTTTTTAAACTGATCCTCAGGCTTGAAGTCTTTTCATTGTTATGTAAATAAAGAACAAATTATGGTGAATCTGAGACAAACCAGCCCCTTGCACGGATACTCTTTTCTCCACGAAAGGACACATTGCTATTTCAAATTCCAGTTTCCAACAGTTTAGGGAGAAAACAGTTTGAAACCCCATTTATACCTGATTATAAGTAAAATATCTTAACCATTAGTTAAATATATTATTATGGAGAGGGAGAAGAAAGGGAATTATAAATGATTATAGCCCTTTCTTCAGTCTTCTTTATAAGGTGCTTGGAATTCAGCCTCATCTGTCTTTTCTCACAGTGTAAACAGTCACCATGTTCAGTGTTTGACAATTACCTTCTCTGGATCCAGTCTCTCTCTATCTGCTGGACATGCTGGAACTGGTAACCTACATAATACAGGGCACAACAACTTTATTACAGCAAAGTCTATATCAATACTCTACTTCAAATAATAATTAGTTGCTTCAAAGTTGGCTAGGCCTGGCAACTTAAAGATTAATAATATTTGGGACAAGTAAATTTTAAATCTTTAAGGGACCCCACCTAAAAATAGACATAGAACTGGCAACTTTTGTGGAGAGGTAGGGGTGTGATAAAATATGCAATCTTCAGTGTCTGCTACCTGTGTCTGAGACCTGAGTACCAATGATATTGAAAGACAACAGGACTCATTTGCAGTGATATGAAGTGACCTTCCTTATGCAAAACATTTTTATACCAGGGATAGGAAGGGCATCAGGAAATTAGGCAGAAAGCCAAGTTTGAGTAGACTAACTGGCGACTTTCTGAGGTTAATAAAACTCAGAAGTTATGGATGTTAGAATGTCTGAAAAAAAAAGGGTTTGTGTGGAAAAAAATTGCTAGAATGTAAGTTAAGAGGTCCAGCAAATTTTTCCAATGATACTGATTGCATCTTAAGTCTGTTAATAAACAAACCGCCATAAAATCAAATGAAGTGGTGGCTGTTGCCACTGTATAGAGGTGACCACTACTTGCAAGAGTCAGTTACATGTAAGTACAGCTATTCTACAGTGTCTACAGAAAAACTAGCACCTAAAAAATTCAGGCCCTCTGAAAACTTCTTTATGGCGGTAGTATGGTCACACAACATGACACAAAAAAGTTAACCCAGGCTGGCCATGTTAAGTTCAAGAATCAGATTGTAAATAATAGCTTCAATCAAAACTAAGGGGCCGTCGACATATTCACTGTTTCCCCACTTAACGTCAACTGGACGTTTAGATCAGACCCCCCTCCCTCCAACTCCTTAATTAATGTCCACTTGAAATTTTGCTGCCCCAAGAGTCACTGCATTCCAGAAGGAATACTGACATACACTTGCGTGAAGATGTCAACGGTATCAACACAATTTACTGCTTTACAAACATGGTAGAAACTTCATTATATATATTTATGTTTAAAGGGATAAACCAATGAGCAGCATTTTTGCGAACTTCTTGAGTTGTACAAACTCTTTTATTATCTCCTATTTGTTTCGTGTGACTAACGCAAACTTCATCAAGGAGTTTTGCAATACCACAAAGAATATCTGTATAGTGAGATACCTAGGAGGGGAAGAATTGGAAGAAATTTAAGCTGGGTTTGCCACATGTTGAACACTGTTAAGATAGCTTGTTATTCTTTATAAAAGTTATCGACTTTGTACGTTATTCAGCTTAAGTCAACGTATTGTCATTTGTTGTTACATTGAAGTGAAAATGATAGCCTTGGATTTTGTCCAATGAGGCTGTGAACAAATTCTCAAAACAGCTAGAATGCTGATGTCGAAAGTATGTCATGAAAAAAGATTCCGGTTGTGTTCTGACAAATGTATTTACATTATCAGCAAACTAACCATAATTTTTGGTATTGTAAAAATTTATAGGTGATTAAGCCTGATAGAGCTTAAATAATCACAATGTAAAATACTCATGGTAGTTAAGAGCAGAGTTTTATAAAAGATCACAATTAACACTCACGCTCCACACATGACGTAAATGTATGAAAATGTATATCTGAGTCTGCTTTTGTCCAAAAATGCCCTGCACTAACATCCACTGCCTTAATTACCCCCCTCCCACCTAAACGTCCAGTTGATGTTAATTAAGTGGGGGAAAAATGAATATGTCGACAGCCCCTAAGTTAGACCTCAAAACTTGAAATTTTGACCTCAACTCAGAACCCCAAAAGCAACATTCAATGTATTTTGTGGTCATGCCACATAAGTAAGTCAGAATAATGCTGTTGTGAAAAAATTAAGATGACCAAAAGTGAAAACAACTGCATGGAGTATTTAGTATTCTTGATTTGAAATGTGACACTCGGGAATTAATTATAATTAGGTCACTGCATATTGACCACTCCAGAGAATACAATAACATACCATAATGCTCTTTCTTTGTCACCTCAAAATTTGCATAAGCATTGTTTTCACTTTCTCTTGGGGCCATTTTAACTCCCAAGAGAAACTGAAGATAATGCTTATGCAAAATTTTGGGGTGACAAAAAAAGAGCATTATGGTATGTTATGGTATTTTCTGTAGTGGTCAATTTTAGGGCAGAATACCTGTTGCAGTGTTTTTATACATAAGCTGGTTTTTAAAGCTGACCTTAATATTTTTGAGAAATATTATTATCTCAATCTAATCTGGACAAAGAAGGTTATTCTTCTTACCAGAACGTCTATTAGAATGTGCCTGGTAATGTTTCAAATGAAATTTCAACAGTGGAACGTAAGAGAAGCCTAAGCTTAAAACTCTGTTTCGATTTTCACAACTACAGAATACAGGGCCATATTTTAAGGTCTTAAACAGAAGTGGCTCGGTGGCTCGCTAGTCATGACAAGTGTTTAAAGAACGAGAAAGATATAAGACATATAAGTGTAAGACAGACATAGAAGGTATATGTTTTAGTATGTATTATAGCTCGGTGGCTCTTCAGTCGAGGTTATATAGTTCAGTGGCTCGGTGGCTCGTTAGTCGGGACTACCGAGCCACCAAGCCAAGGCAAATTTCTAGGTATATTCGTTGGGGTGTATTCTGTACAGGGGGCACCCAACGAGAATATAGTTCAAAACCACTAAAACATAGCATTGCTAAACGTATTTTGGTATTTAAACGGTAGATATAGGCATATTTTTATCCCCTAAAAAATTTTCATCTGTTCGGATTTCCTAGCTGAAAGTCTAGTGATCCAAAAATTATAGGGATCAAAACTTACCTTTTCGAAAATTTCAGCCAGAAAAAATAGGCAATTATACCACATTTTAGATGTTCGAAAATCCTAGGAGAAGCAGGCAAGCAAGAAATTTTACAACAAATGTTCCGAAAATTCTAGATCTCAAATCGTCTTCCGAAAAGATATTTTTCCGAAAATTGTCGTTGGGTGCCCCTGTAGTCTGTAGTTAAGCAGCCGTGGCCGATTTTCATACCTTCTAATCGCTTCATTAAGACATTTTTTGCAGAATCTGTGGCCACATCTTGTTTGAACTGGTTCTCGTAAAGGTAAGTGACAAATAAGGCAGTGGTGATCATCAAGGACAGTCGAAATAAACTCGTATTCATAACCTGAAGGCAAAGGATTCATTCCTACTTCCGCCATTTTAGTCTTGGCCCGTGCCAAAGGAGGCCAGATGGGTTGCGCTTGGAGGTCCCCAAAGTCCCCCCACCCCTACGCCCACGCGCGATCGGGAAAGGATAGCCCCACCTAGCGTTTGAAAGTTTCTAAAACAGGAAGAGTGTTTAGTGTCCATTTAAAATGGTAAACTGGTGTAACAAAGACAAGAATACAGACTACAGCGAAGGTAATGGGAATTTATTAAACACAGTCGCATCTAATAGTTGCTTAATTTTATGCATACAGGTTTTTAACCATCTACCAACAGGGGCACCCAACGAGAATATAGTTCAAAACAACTTAAACACAGCATTATTAAATGTATTTTAGTATTTAAAAGGTAGATATAGGCATATTTTTATCCCCTAAAAATTTTTTATCTGTTCGGATTTCCTAGCTGAAAGTCTAGTGATCCGAAAGTTATAGGGATCAAAACTTACCTTTTCGAAAATTTTAGCCAGAAAATAGGCTCCCGAAAATTCTAGGTGAGCTTTTTAGGGTAAAAATTAGTTAAAAATGGGCAAGTATACCATTTTTTATTTGTTCGAAAATCCTAGGAGATGCATGCAAGCAAGAAATTTTACAACAAATGTTCCGAAAATTCTAGATCTCAAATCGTCTTCCGAACAGATATTTTTCNTGTTCGGATTTCCTAGCTGAAAGTCTAGTGATCCGAAAGTTATAGGGATCAAAACTTACCTTTTCGAAAATTTTAGCCAGAAAATAGGCTCCCGAAAATTCTAGGTGAGCTTTTTAGGGTAAAAATTAGTTAAAAATGGGCAAGTATACCATTTTTTATTTGTTCGAAAATCCTAGGAGATGCATGCAAGCAAGAAATTTTACAACAAATGTTCCGAAAATTCTAGATCTCAAATCGTCTTCCGAACAGATATTTTTCCGACAATTGTCGTTGGGTGCCCCAGTACCAAGCAGCCGGATCAAACTGTCCCGCAGATTGTTCAGCATTGTCGCCTGTAAATCTTGAGTACTTCGTCACCGCCATCACAATTCAAGGCCGCTGCCTACACTTAATGCGTCCAGAGCTCATTAAGAACTGAAAGAACAGGGTGGGTAGAACTTGTACCTAATGCTGGGTGCTAAAAAAAATGGGGTAGATTCTCTAAGCGACAAACGTTCCTCAGTTCAAGAATGTGGGTGTTTTTTGGTATTGCACAAACTCTTGTTGGCTCCTTTTTGTTTTGTAGTGTTGGAATTGTTCAATGTCTTTTCAGTCTTTTGTATGACGTCATTTGGTGATCGGACCCGTCCACAACACCATAAGAAACCACCAAAAACAGAAAACTAATGAAGAAAACTAACGAAGTAGAGGGACAACGTTTTGTAAGGCCCGGTTCAGACGCCGAACTTTTCATGAGCTGAACCTAATTCGAATTAAGGCCGACCCAATCTATTAAGACCGGCTGAATTGATTCAGAAGCCGATCTTAATTGAAGCTGAACTAAGTTCAAAAGGCGAAAAATTGTTCATTTCGGTCAAACTGCTTACAAAATACGCTATAATAATTTATGCATTAGGTTCGGTACATGAAAAGTTCGGCGTCTGAATCAAAGCCGTTCCAAAGTCGCTCCAAAGGCGAAATTCCCGGCCAGGCTAGGCGAAAAGAACGGCTGAGCCGGTCGTTCCAAATTGAAACAGGCGTTCCTAATTGATTCAGACGCCGAACTTTCCATTTTCAATGTATTAGGTTCGGCTCATGAAAAGTTCCGCGTCTGAACCGGGCCTAAGATTCATTGCAGCTTATATCAAACTTTAATGAATAAGTTTGCTCAAATTAAAAGGCTATTTACGCTCTTTTCTTCACCAAACTCTCGCTACCTACAGTTCGTCTTTGTAACATGGGGGATATTTATGACCTCCACTGATGTTTGAACGCTATTTTTTTATTGTTTGAAGACAAGTTCTTCTCAGTTTAGAGAAAAAGATTTCTTTACCGACGATTTACCATCCGCCACTCCACGACACTGAATTGAGTCATGTTTTGGTGTTCTAACGTGCGTTGTAATAACCAGGTTACACTTCCATTGCTGAATCACAAAGTAACAGAATACCCTCATTTGTATTCAAAAGTCGCAACTATTCGTGAATGGGCCACCAGAAGTGGGCGAGAATTTGAACATTATTTGCTTACTTAGGCCCGGTTCAGACGCCGAACTTTTCATGAGCCGAACCTAATTCGAATTAAGGCCGACCCAAATTATTTAGACCGGCTAAAGTGATTCAGACGCCGATCTTAATTCCAGCCGAACTAAATTCAGAAGGCGAAAAATGCACATTTCGGTCAAACTGCTCACAAAATACGTTATAAGAATTTCTGCATTTGGTTCGGTACATGAAAAGTTCGGCGTCTGAATCAAAGGCGTTCCAAAGTCGATCCAAAGGCGAAATTCCCGCCCGGGCTAGGAGAAAAGAACGGCTGAACCGTTCCAAATTGAAACAGGCGTTCCTAATTGATTCAGACGCCGAACTTTTCATGTACTTAATTCAATGTATTAGGTTCGGCTCATGAAAAGTACGGCGTCTGAACCGGGCCTTAAGGCCTCCATCTCATCAACATTAATATTGTTGTTTTCAGTCCTCTTTGCTTGTAAAAACGTTTTGGTCTTATAATTCTGGGGCATTAATTATTCGTCACTTTTATGACAGGCTGACACCTACAGTAGATAAGCAATTGTTCAGGAGTACCCGACGAAGCCGCTCGACAAAATACCCGCTCGACAGGCAGAATTTGAGGGGCGAATTTGAGCTAGCTGGGAAAAAAAAATTGGCTAATTAGTTGGCTGGGAAATCTGAATTAGCGCCTCGCTAGCTGAAAATATGAAAAATTTATGCCGCTTCTGGCTGGATAAAAAGGTATATTTTTTCTCCTGGCAATAGCATGTAATTTTTTACATGGATATTAGCACGAGCGAAGCAAGTAACTGCGCGTGAAAATCACCCCACACGAGCTGTGGAAATGACACCTTTTGCCTGTGGAAACGGAAATTTGTTTGGGTGTGTAAACAAA